CTGAGGAGCACTGGAGATCAGTTTCGGAAGATGCTAATAAAACAAGGTCGTCTGCAAACAGCAACCTTCTTGTCTTCACATCTCCAAGACCGATAACCTCACCGCCTTGGCAGCTCCTCACTACTCTATCCATGTATAACACAAACAGGATAGGGGACAGGACGCAGCCTTGGCGGAGACCAGTGCGAATGTTAAGGCCTTCGACTTAACGTCGTTTACAATGACCCAACTCCTGCTATCAGAATACACTGTTTGGAGGGCCCTTGACAGCTGACCGTCTATCCCGTATGTTCGCAAGCATGATCGCAGACTGTTAGAAGGGATCGGGTCATAGGCTCAGGCTATGCCAACAAACGCTGTGATGACCTTTGAAAACACTGGAATTACTCCTATATCGATCAGAAATGTTTGAATACAGAATAACCAGTTATTACAACTTTTTGAACTAGTAGCAAACCACTATACTTCTGAACCATGTCCGAGAATCTCATTCTCCATACAAACATCAGTTAATTAGTGGCATTTAATGAGGCCGTCGCATTTGACATGTCGTCATGACGCCGGTTAGATCATCAAACATGAGCTATTTTAACTAGGCATGCTGGGTAGCATTTTCTGATAATTATTATTTTAAACATTTTATTTGTTTTCTCGTTCCTCCACGTATTAAACAACATAGCAAAAAATTGCATTATTAAATAATGCAGGTTCATTTTCTTCAGGTTATTAACCAGATCATCGACTGGCACGAATATTCGCCAGTTAATATTTTGCTCTTTACACATGCTGCGATGATGGACGCCTTCTCACGCCCGTTAATCAAGAGAAAGTCGTTGCCAAGCATGGACGAGATGAAAAAGATGAGCGAATATTATCCATACGGAGCGGTTATTGCTCTGGAAGAACAAGCAGGTGGAAGAAAATGGCAATTAATGCCATCTGCAATGCCGCCAATTAGTTTCTTTAACTTTACAAACAGGATTAATTTCCGATTTTTCAATCGTAGCTGATGATAAGCAAATATATCACGATAGGTTTCATGAATCGTGACTTAATCCTCTTCGATCAACTCATACACCCGTCTGTGCATATCTAAGTGACATGAGAAATTATTTGAATAAACTTTTCAGTGACTATTTATCGTTTATTATTCTATTGCGAAATGGACTCGTTACTTCATCATTAGAAAATTTGAGAATAGTCGTTGCAACGTTTCTCATGTCTACGTGAACATCTACGCTTATTGGATTTCTAATGGCGAGGCAGCCAACTTTCTGATCTGCCAGGAAGATATTTCTATACATACAACAAGAAGATGTGCATATTTGGAAGAGGGAGACTGGACAACAGTCAAACGCAGCACAACTCCGAAGTCAACCAGACTTCAAGGACTTTGGTTTGTCCCCTGAGTCAAAGAGGAACTCTTTGGTGACACGTTTGATGTGTGAAACCTTATCGAATATACCATGCTTTGGTTCTGTGGCAGATGCAAATTGTCGTTGATCTGTGATTGTTCATGAAAAATCACTAAATTATTAAATTTCTCTCCGAAATGCTGTTTCGATCTTTTCATCCGCTGCACACCTCTCATGCTTTTCTCACAATCATTAAACTGGTAATCTGCTGTCGTAAGCTTCTTAGGCAATTTCAAATATTGTCTTTGGCTTTTTTAAGGAACTTACTCGTTTTTGCAGTCAGTAAAAACTGCTACCGTACTTCTTCAACTGTGCCCCAGTTCCACAAATAAAGAAAACGGTCAATTGCCTTTAAAGTTGTAAAAAGTATCGGTTTACTATAAAATTAGTCATTTTAAAATTTCGCTAATTGAGTTCCGCTGAAAGTCGTCTTTCAGTAATTGTCACCAGTTAGCAAACGGTGGGAAAATCCATTTTCATCTGGACTGTCAATCCTTTGGCTCCTAATAGCCCATCAGGCGATGAACAATGATTAATATGGTGCAATGCGGCGTTGCGGAACGTGCGTTCAATGGCCCTTCAAGAGTCAATGGTTGCCCCCGGCAAAGTGCAAGAAAAAGATTCGACTCAATTTCTACCGACCGGTCGCTCTCTGCAGGGCGCCCGAATCGCGATGATCACTTTACACTGACGGGCATCACGTTCCGACTATCAGACATGCAAATTATTTCAATATAAATATGCTGTTGGTATTTATTGACCATAAAACGGTAGCGCTAAGAGCTACTTTAACAGCGCTGTCCTTTTGTCAGGATTTGTCCAGTAAATCCTGAACGATCACTCTCTGAAAATATTTCTCGAGTATTATGAGAAGTCAACATAATATTTTTGCGATAAAAAATCTATTTTCGAACACGTCGACGAAATGTTTATGTAATTTAGACATATGTTGTGATTAAAAATACATTACGTTTAAAACTTAGAATGATTCTTCGTCTCATGTCGATATTTTACGTTTCGGTTTAGACGGCGTGGAAGCACCCTCCGTCGTCCGGTGGTAAAATAAAAATGCTATTTTTCTTAACGGCGGTATCGAAAACTAGCACTAAAATACGATGTGTGTTTGTTTGTGCTTATGTTTATATGTAAATGTGCCTACAGAAAATGAAATACCTGCAGGTACCCCCGCAGGATTTTGCTCAGCCGTGTTCTGTGATGTGGTTTTCATTCCAAGTGCTGTAGGTGCTCAAATACCAAATAGCCGTGGCCTGCCTAAATGGACCCATAGGCCGCTATGAGCAATGGGTCAGTGCCCGTGGGCCGTGTAAGTCGAGAAATAGATAAATGTAGAATCTTAAACTCTTAAGAACTTTTTTATATTATGATGATTGCTATGGAACCATTTTAGAACTTCATCTGCATGTATTTACTAATATTCAGAACATTTTGATATTAGTCATTTTTAAATGGTGATTTTCTATTCAGATCATGGAGGTAGACGTGTCAGAAACGCTGTTAATGTTCTCAATTATATATGAATGCCTGGATGATGACAGTGGCTTTACTGAGTTTGGAGCAGAGTTAATGGGAGGACTTCTCCTAGTCATTATAGCTGTGTTCAGAGAACATGAGCAAACACCAGTAATCGTAATTTCTTAATCGTCAAAAACAGGGACTGGGTCTAGAGGGTTTTTCAGAATGTTGAGTTATTCACTCTGCAAAAAAGCGATTTTCCACGCAAAGTGCATTTTTGGTCACTTTTAAGAATAATCATGTTTTCCTCCCGTCACTCATGACTTGTATCTACATTCAAACATAGAAGCAAAGATCTGTTTTAAAAGAAGCAGCTTAATCGTCAGATCCAGTTCAGCCTTGGTAACAAGAGTTTACCATGGCTCAATGGAGAACTCCGCGCGTCTCTGCAGCAAGCTTCCCATCAGCAGTCAGACGCATAAAAAAACTTTGACTGTTTCACGTGGTTCATTGTTGCTTCATAAACCAGCAAAGCACACCAGACAGACTAATGAGAACCGTTAATGGTTCGCTTTTGAAGCGTGTATGTCAACCATCTCAAAGTCGGTTGACGTTCTTTGGAGTGCATCTACGGTTCATCTTTATAGTAGCCAAAAGACTCGATTGTCTGCAAGAGAAAAACTACTTATTTTCCCTCTCGGACTCACTTTCATTTTTAACTGCGCTTAATGACTTCGTTCACTTGCAACACAGCGAGGAACGGTGACACACTGCACCCTTTATGGAGTTCTTTGTTGACGGCGGAAGGTATGGATTTATAATCATTGACTATGGCACCGTTCCTTCTACCAGCGTATACAGATTGAACGGCCTACGTCAGTTTGCCAACGATTTCCGGCCCCAGTGGGTTCCAGAGATTGTTGCCTCAAACTCGGTCCACAAATCGCATCAAAAATGGATTACCGAATTCCCCCAGGATTTACCACGAATCTGATTCACGTGATGTGGTAGAAATGACGCGATCGATTATAAAATGGAATTCTTACAAGAGCAATTTTGCGCTTCTTCTAGGTTCTGAGCCTATTCGCTACTTAAATCACAGTACTACCTAAAATCCCACTTGATCCAATTCGAAAATTTTGCGAATGCCACCAGAACGATGGCATGCGAGAATTTCTTGGTCGGTTGATTAGTACACTGAATGACTAATGGCTGTACTTTAAACGACGCGGTGCCAACTTATTCGCAACCTCTTCATAAGATTCGATATATCATTGGTTGAGGCACTGCTGGCAAAACTTTGGCACAAAACCGAATGTTTACAACTGTTATGGCAGTGATCACCAAGAGGTGTGCGATTGCAATGTAATAAATCTGAATAAATACAATTAAATTTCACATAAGTCAGTTTCGCCTCTTGCAGAGGAGTTTTGTCTACGTTTATGATCTAAGAGGTAATGTCATAATATAAGTTATGGTCCCTATGGGGAAACATAAAGCAGTTTATTAATGCGCAACCTAAAAAATAATATAGTTAGTCAGATGATTGATCTTCAAATAGGACGTTGAAAAAGTTTTGGAGGCAATTGTTTTCCTCAGCTGTTGATACGTTTGGTCCTATCTGTTACGTTGAAGATCCATGAGACACGAATCAAAATGTCGGCAGTTTTCAATCTTCGGGTTGAACACATCATATTTTACATTAATAATCAGTGCTTGATGGTGATTTTCAGTACCACCCAAACCCAAGAACAAAATTATCTGGTCCACGTGATCTTCTACGACTGGAGTACTGCCACTCCAGTTCTTCAGTCCACCGGTGTCTTCTTCTTACTCATTGCAGTTTGTCAGCCACATATTAGTCACAGTATACTTTGTTTGCCTCGAGCTTTAGGCATGTCAGTCAGGATTTCTTCCATTAAACAACCTTCCAATGTTTCTGTCGCTTCGCCTACTGAAAGATGAAATATCGGTTGCCTACTTCACCTCATGTGAGTCCTCATGGTGCTAATATGTTCCTCAAAGATCGCTCCCACTCCCCAAAGTATATCTTATTCTT